TCCCTCCTGCCTCCACCCCAGGTTTGGTCCTTGGCCAAGATAGAGTCCATCATCTCACCAAATGTTCCTTTATTATCCTTTACTGCATGGTCACATTTACCCACACAGCAACTCAAAAGCAGTTGCCTTATTTTCTATAATCGATCTAATCAATCTCCTGAACATGGGCCTGTTCTTTCGGCAATCTAATAGTCCTCAAGAACATCTGCCCTAATAAATATCCAGGAAACTTAAAACTTGTCAAATAATATCTTCCAGTTAATATAAGAGCTTTAAGGCCAGGAGTGGTGGCTCATGTCTCTAATCCCAACACTTTGGGAGGGTGAGGTGGAAGGACTTCAAGACCAGCCTGGGCAACATAGTGAGACCCCCTCTCACAAACCCACCCCCACAGAAAATAAAATTAGCTGGGTGTGGTGACACACACTTGTAGTCCCAACTATTCAGGAGACTGAAACAGAAGGATTGCCTGAGTCCAAGAGATTTTGAGGCTGCGGTGAACCATGATCATGCCATTATACTCTAGCCTGGGTGACAGAGTGAGACTCCAACTCAAAAATAAAATAAATAAAATAAGATAAATATTTGGATTTTAACTCCTTACCAGTGCTGGTTTAAATAGCTGCTTTCAGGCAAATTTTCCTCCAAGGTTTTAGGAGACATCCTGGAAGTACTAGTGGCAACAAGACTTTAGTTCTGTGGTATTTCTCTGGATCCTTACTGGTCTCTGCTGCAAGGAGGTGATCAGGTCCTATAACTGGACTGGTGCCATCTCATCTTTTGTGATATCATGCGGGCTCCCATCCCTGTGGTTCACAGTCCTGACTTTGAGTCTATACAGTCACAAAGTCCTTTGCTATAATGCCAACTGTTCTACCAGGCCAACAGGCTCCTCTACCTCCCTCACAGTGTATTCAGAATCCCCTACTACTACACTCATCTATCTAGACACTAAAGCAGAGCCAAAGGTCCTCTACTGTTGACTGTTCCCTCAATCCATTTAGCATCCCAGTCCTAACCCCAAAACTTTGGCCAGGCAAGAAATATCAGAACACCCATTTCTCACAATCTGTTTTCCCTACCTCCTGTCCCCCTTCTCCCCACAATCCAAGGACTAAAAGGGATGAACCTTTCACTTCCAAGTCATTCTTCTTCCTCCTTGGAGGCACTAAGTCTCAATGATGGATGAGATATTCTCTTTACCCTAGAGAAGAGCTACAGGGTAGCTCTGGATATGGAAGCTGCAGGCAACATGGAACTTGGGAATACCAAACACAGTGACTTAAAACCCTGCAAAATATCATCCCTTTGCAACTTCAACCAAGTTTCTCCTGTGTGCTGGACCCTACGGGTATAAAGATTAGACTTGGGTCATTAGGATGGAGAGTGGGAAGACCTATGAACAAATAAAATAATTGCGATGGAATTTGATGTGCTACGTTTACCAAAACAAACAGAAAATACATATAACCCATCTGTCAATCAATCTTTTCTGTCTCCATCAGACTAAAAATGTATGCAACAGTAAGAGAAAAACAACATAAATAATTTCAGATCACAATTTCATTGTCATTTAAACTTTCTCCAACTTACATACTTCATTTTCTTTTCCACACACAACATGAAAAACTAGAAACCATTCCTTAATGAGAGAAAAAAAGTAAGATAAATGGGTTCACATTTCTTCTTTAATAAAAATGGATACCCAGAATTAAAGCACTAAACAAAACAGCCCTGGGCCAAAGGAAATCATGTAGAACTTTGTGACAATCATTTTTGGTGCCTAATGAAGTATAGACATATGTCATTTAATGACAGGGATGTGTTCTGAAAAACACATCCTTAGGTGATTTCTATGTTGTGTAAACATTCATAGACTGTACAGATGGTATAGCCTACTACATGCTTAGGGTATAAGGTACTGTCTATTGCTCCTAGGTTATAAACCTGTAAAGCATGTTACTATACTGAATACTGGAAGCAATTGTAGCACAATAATAAGTATTGTATAGATAAACATATTTAAACATATAAAGGAAACAGTAAGAATACAGTATTATAATCTTACAGGATCACTATCATATATGTGGTCCATCTGCTGAAAGACCGAAATGTTATGTGGCACATGATCGTAGTTACAGTAAATATCTGTTTTTTATTCTATGTTGATTTTCCCCTTCCCAAGGAAATGTTAATTGTTACAAACTACATTTTCATCCCATATGAGTACTTAATTCAAATGGAAAGCAGCAAAAGGGCAGGAACAGTTAGAAGCAAAATTTTGCCAGACACTCATACTACAAACCAAGTGCTTTAGTATATTTAGGAATTGGGGCTACAAAAATTGAAACATGCATTATCTATTCTCAAGGACTTCAACATTTCCCTAACACTATTTCCCTAACAGTGATTCCAAACAAAACACCTCAGAATATTATAACCACTAAAGTAAGAATGTTCAACTGCATACCTACTACCAGAGCACAAGTGAACTATATATTCTGGCAATCCAAAATAAGCACAAATGCATTTTGTGTGTGAAGTATTTTAATAAACAAGTATCTGTTGGTCATTATGAAAAATCCATTTGTTTAGTTTGTTTTGTTTAGATGCTCAGCATTTACTTATATCCTTTTTTTTTTTTTAATTGGAGTCTCACTCTGTCACCCAGGCTGAAGTGCAGTGTCACTCTCACGGCCACTGCAGCCTCAACCTGCTGGGTTCAGGTGATCTTTCCGTCTCAGCATTCCAAGTAGCTGGAACTACAGGCACATGCACCACGCCTGGCTAATTTTTTGATTTATTGTAGAGATGAGGTCTCACCAAGTCGCCCAGACTGGTCTCAAACCCCTGAGCTCAGGCAATCCTCTCATCTCGACCTCTCAAAGTGCTGGAATTATAGGTGTGAGCCACTGTGCCCGACCACTTATATCCTTTTTTCTTTGTTTATGTTTGCTGATTTTCCCACTAAGATGACTATTATGGAAAGTAGAGCCTGTCTCCTATCTTAAAAGCCAAAAAGGGCCAGATGTGGTACTCCAGTACTTTAGGAGGCTGAGATGGGAGGACTGCCTGAGCCCAGGAGTTTGAGACCAGCACAGGCTATAATATAGTAAGACCCCCAGTCTCTACAAAAAAATCAAAAAATTGGCTGGGCATGGTGGTGTGTGCCTATAGATGCAGTTACTTAGGTGAGTTACGAAGTCCAGGAGGTCGAGGCTGCAGTGAGCTGTGATCACACCACTGCACTTCAGCCTGAGCAAACCACTGAGATTTCCCACCCCCCAAAAATAATAAGGCCATGTGCAGTGGTTCACGCCTGCAATCCCAGGCCTTTGAAAGGCCAAGGCAGGAGGTCTGCTTGAGCCCAGGAGTTTGAGACCAGCATAGGCAACACAGCGAGACCTCACCTACACAAAAAATACAAAATTAGCTGGACATGATGGTGTGCGCCTATAGTCCCAGCGACTTGGGAGGCTTAGGCAGAAGGATCACCGGAGCCCAGGAGGTTGAGACTGCCATGAGCTGTGATTGTGCCACTGCACTCCAGCCTGAGCAACAGAGTAAAACCCCACTTAAAAAACAAAAAAATTTCTTAAGCCAAAAAGACTAAATACTCACCTTCTTAACTTCCCTTGTAGCTAGGGTATAGGCAGTGACCTAAGTTCAGCCATCCAAGACATTCACCAAGGACTTTGAATCAGAAGCTAACATCACAAAGAAGAATGGTTGAGAAAATAATTCTCCAACAACAATCAGTTTCCCAAGGATCAGCAGGGTTCAGTGTCTATGGTGTGCTAGAGTTACATACAGCAGAATTGAATATTATCAGGTAACAGAAGTCATATACTCCCCAGACCCCAGGCCCAACTACTTCTGCAGTACAATTCTGACTTGGTTCCTGCCCATTTTCAGTCAGGTTTCTCCAGACTTTAAAGCAATGCTGAGAACTCCCACAATTCCCTCCCATGAAACTCCTTTTTTGCCTTAATCGGGTCTTGCAAATAACAAAAATTAGTGATAGAGACAGCAATAATGAAATAGTATGGTAAAGCAGGAAGCATACTACCCACAAAGGATTTGTGTAGTTTATTTTGGAAAATGGGCAATTCCATGTATCATATGACTCAGGTTCATCTCTGATGGTTGTGTTACTAATTTGTCACCATTTAATCATTCCAAAACTTTTCTGTCCCAAGTACTACATAACATGAAAATCTGACCTTATCTGCAAGATGACCTGCATCTTCTCCATCAATTAGTATTATAGGACTTAGGAAACAGCAAGTATTCTATGTTAAACCATATTCAAACTCTAGAAACACTACAATGGATTTAGGATGAAGAGCCCAGCTCTCTCTAATTTGCCACAATGAGAATCAAAGATCTATAATGTTTAAATCTCAGGGCTTTCAGCAAAAAGTCAAGTCTTGAAAGGAATGAATTGTTTTCAACCACACAATTTACAAAAACATCAAGGTGCTCGCTCCTGAACATGATTTTTTTTTTTGTTATAATTACTTCGGAAAGCAACAGATACAATTATTACTTGGTAACTTTAAAATGTAAAGTCAAATTTCTCAATGACGAATCAAATAAGAACTAAGTAAGATTAATGGTCAAATTACAGACATGAGTTTTGCACTTCTACCCATCTCAATCTCAAACCGACAGATATGAAAAGCAGTTATGCACAAAATCATCCCACTCATCTCAAAACAGAGTTCTTTTTCCTTGCACACAGAAGAATCTCAGTAACATTTGTTGGTTGAACTGTGACTGTGCATGTATGTTACACATTTCCATAAATTGCTTTGACATGGCACTGCTTCCAAAACACTGGAACATGAATTCTTGCATCTAGGCAGGGGTTAAGAGTTAGACAGTCATCTCATTCAATGGCAAAGTACACCAGGGAACCCTAGTAACTTATGCTCCCACAGTACGGCACTTGCAACTCAAGTTCAGCCCCTCTGATACACTGTAATTCTCTCTCTCACTTGATCTGCTCCTTAAGGATTCTTAAGGCTGTCCCGTTCATCTTCGTATTCCCCAGGACACACAGAACCCAAACCACAGAAGTACACCGTAAACTTCAAGATTCTTCCACCTCCTGCTGGATCTCTGCAGTAAGCCTCATTTATACCCACCCCTGCTCCCCCTATACCCACCTCCGCCACTTGTGGCTTCCACAGTCGTTCCAATGAAGCTTGTCACACCGGCCATAGCCTTGTCGTTCCCCAGCAACATTATCCACGGCCCATCGCGCTTCCCCTTAAGTCTGCCCAACTGGCTGCCCCAATTCCTACCGCAGCCTCGGTTGGGGGCGGGATGTCAGTGTGGGAACCCCAGCTGAGCGAACCCAGGGGAGCGTCCGGGCAGGGTCCGTCAGCCGCGACTCCCCCACCCCACCCCCCACCCCCGGGAACAAGCGCGTCAGGGGGA